AGGATTGAAAAAGTGATGCGCTCATCCCCTTAAAGAAGCTGTTAAGCGTGATACCAGAAATAAAACCTGACATCCACAGTAGGTCAGCGTCTTCCATCGTACACCTACATCAAACTCCTACGGTTTGTTCAGATATGGTGTATAAAACCGCTGCCAAAAAAACGCCACAGTTTATTCAACACAACAACCTTCAAACTTTTAAAGTGAAACTGTGGACCATTTAAGAATGGAAAAGACAATGTGCTCATCCCCTTAAAGAAGCTGTTAAGCTTGATACTAGTAATAAAACCTGACTTCCATAGAAGGTCAGCACCTTCCATCTTACATTGTACATCTCCATCAAACTCCTACGGTTTGTTCAGATATGGTGTATAAAACGGGTGCCAAAAAAAATTCCTGCCAAATCTATGTGTAAATAAATAGCAACTGCGTTCAACGAAGGTCCTACCCTTTATAATCACTGAGCTCTGTGTTATAACATACATGTACAGGTACAGAAAGGTGAAGCGAAACCCACTTAAGCCATCATAAATTACTGTCTTGGTTTATCGCGTCATACCTGAACAGAGCTTCATGCTCTTGAACTCTGCATAGAGCAGAGAATGATAAATCAATGTGTCTCTAAATGTCACCAGGAATGCGACAGCTTGGTGTCGCCATCTTGAAGCCTGGACTATGACGAACACTGCACCATTTGTTTACGTCTGATCGTTAAACAGGTAGAGTGACAAGTCACAGGCTCGAAGCTCGCCATGGTTTGTATTCATCTGATCATTAAACAGATAGAGTGACAAGTCACAGGCGAAGCCCGCCTATGGTTTGTATTCCCGTCTCTTAGGGGGTATTCAACAAATATATCAGCCTTCGTCATAATATTCCATGCTTGTTTAGCAAACATTACATAGTACCTCATGCTAATGGCGACTGCATGTCGGTGTATTTGTGCAAATACAAAGAACGGGGGCAGGTCTTCAGAGAAAAAAAATACCAAGGGAAAATTCTCCCAGAGAAGGCCATTGTGACTATTGTCAACCGTACCATATTTTGAAGAATACTTCCGATATGCAAAAATTACTTTGGTGTGACTAAAATAAAACTATGGGGTGCCATCAAGCAATATAAAAATGGTAATTAAGTACAGTACCTTTTGAGAAGACTGGTATACTATACACATGTACATGTACATCTCTTTGAACTTCCCAAGAGCTTAGTAAAGTGCACATATCATTTGGACATACTACATGTAAGTGTACATGTAGTCCCATTTATGCATCTCCATGTGCGGTGCCTGTGCCTGTAAGTGATTTTCAGCACAACTAAGTTTTTATGTTATAAAGTTGATGATTAACAGCCTCACAATTACACACATTTTATGTGCAATACTGTAACAGAACTTATCGAAATTAGTTCTAAACATTTTATTTATTCTGCATTTCACAGGCATGACCAGAAATCAACTTAATCAACTTTTTTTCAAACATTGACTACTCGCTTTAAAGCTTCTAGGCAGCGTTGGTAAAGCTTGCTTGAGCTGATGAAAGCTAGTCACATCACGCTATGCCCATTAGCATGTCTAATATAGCCTGCCTGCCTGCCTAGCTGCCTCTCTGGCTGCCTGCACGGCTGGCTCTATGGCTTCTACCTGAGTAGACTCCCTGATTTATTGTTTCTAAAATCAAGCTCTTGACTTTGATCCACAGGAGTGATGCAGAGGGACCTTCTCACACCTAGGGAATAGACTCTAGCGATATATCCCAATGTTGGTTATTAACTTTATTATAGAGTGGGCGTTAAAGAGAAGGATGAGTTCTGAGAAGAGGTGAAAAATAATTTGTGAGCATTATCATTCTATTTTGCAAGTGTGGAAGAACATCAGATAAAAAATGTTCCCTGAAAAGCATGAACCCCGACAAGAGACTTCAAATTCCTTCCAAGAGTCAACTTCAGATGTTTGTATTTCTGCTTGTGGACTACATGTACTGTGGTGGGCATCAACCGATTCCATGACATTTGCTCCGGCGACAATTGCTCCGCTGTAAATTTCATACACTAATCGAATGGCTAACTTCAACCCTGGATTCAACACTATACCCTACCCTAAACCTAACCCTAAACCTAACATAAAACCCTATTGAAACCCTAACCCTAACCCTACATCTTAGACGAAATAAAGCCCGGAGCAATTGTCGCAGGAGCAAATGTCGTGTCACCCATCAACCATCTCAAAAGAATCATAATGCACATCTTACACCACAATTTAAGCCCAAGTACAACATTTAATGTTTGTTCTGCATGCCTTGCTAACTCTGGCACAGTCCAAGGAGATGAAGTAAAGTTGCAGAAGGAGGGAACATAAAAAGATTACTTGTCATCTTGTTAAATTAATGTGTCTTAATGTCCCCCCATCCACACAAAAAAAAACAAGAAGGATTGCATATAAAGCTTTGCTTTGAAGAAAAAAAAGGATAACTGAAACACAGATCACTTGTAAAACAAAACAAAACAAAACAAGGCAAAATCACACATACATGTACATGTAACAACAAGTACTATAGATTTGAAAGATTTGATTTTCTCTATTAAAGGTAAAGACCAGTTATGGTCATGCGATTGCATTGTGAAAGAAACGTTGTGGAATCGATCAGAAAAGGTTGATCATCTAGCATCTATAGCATCTGCAAGGTTCTGGAATCATCAAAATGATAAAAAATTTGGCCAATTCTTCGTAAAGTTACAAGCACTATACACAGAAAGATGTATATGGGACTACCCTATATCTCTCACAGACCATGAGAGAAACAAATTTACCAAATATATGAATTAGTAGGCAGTTTCCCGGCAAATTTTTTATCATCATGTATTAGTCAAAACATATTCTTTCACATGATTGGTAATGAGAGCTTCCATTTCATTTTTTGAAATTGGGGCGTTTCCAATACTGGTCTTTACCTTTAACAATACAACTATTCTTCATTTGTAGAAATATATATGTGAGCATTTCTATTTGATCCTTAATTATTTGCCTAAGAGAAGTGATGGATTGTACATATCATACCGAGTTTAAAAGTACATGAATAATTATGTGATAGTGCAAATATTACAAGTGGCTGTGCAGGACAAATTTTAAAGCATTAAAAAGAATCATTTGACATTGACAAAATCAGATTGATGGTGAAGTTCCCAACGGACTCTTTTTCAAAGAGTTCATAAAGACCAAAATGATTTGTTTATAATGAATACTGATTGAGACATTTCACAAGAAGAAGACAGACACCAAGTTGTTAGCACCTACCTTAGTGTTAAGCTGTCATTACAGGGTGATTAGTAAAGGGAAAATGATGGTATTATTAGTAAGGAGTTAGGGTGTTAATCAAGGAGTTCGGGTGTAAATCAAGGATTCTACACAGAAGTCAAAGAAAAATATGTGTCAGTAAAATAATAATAATAAATAAATGGGTTATGCCCTGGAGAAGGATGCAAAGTTTGTTGCATATATCTTCTATTTTTATTTGTGTGATATATATTGTAAAAATCAGGCCAAATTTTCAGGAAACTAACTCAAAAATGGACATGAAACAGGATTTCTCCCTGAATTACCAGTATTGAACAGGTATGTTTGATAACTTGCACACAACAAACTTTGATCATCCCTTCCAGAGTATTGATATCCTGCTCTGCAATAAAATAATCATCAAAACAAAACCTTATCTAAATAAGATGTTAAATCAGTATACATTAAGTAGGCAAACATTATTTTTAAGTAATGAGGGCATATGGTTATCTAAATTAGATATTAAGGTAGTACAGGTAGGTCTACATTTAGTGGGTACATGAAGGGCCTATCAAATGAATAAAAAAATATTAATTTAAACAAGGGAAAGGAAAACCAAACAATCTGTATGGGGTAAGAACATGTAGACTGGCAGGAAAATGTTAACATACACTGTACACCAGGTAGAATCGTTAGAAATTATTAGCTAAGTATAAGGTGAGACTTCTGAATATACAGTGCTTATCAAAAAAAGTGTACTGAACTTTGGCAGCACATGATGACAAAGTCATAATGAATGTGACCTTGCAATATTTCTCATGGTAAATTTCTGTCTAATGATACTCTTCTCCGAATTTTTTCTGTCAACGATGACCGAGCACCAGGATTTTTTTTAAACAGTCAAAGTTCTAATCTAGATAAGATGGTAAACAAGAATGTGTACATGTACATGTAGGTACCGGTATACATTTAGTTATTAATATGATCAACAAAATTATATAAATAGACACTTAGTGGTAATGGGCTATTAACATCGTTTTTTTTAAATGACATAAAGGCTATAATCTAAATGAGATATCAAAAAAGAACAAGTATGGTAGTACAAATTTAGTGAGTAATATGATCAATGAGGTTATCTAAATAGACCTTTAGTGTTAATGTTAAGTGTTAATGGGCAATTAAATTTTTCTTTTTTCATAAATATACAGTCAAACCTGATTTAATTAGTTCCTCATTTCTCGTGCTTTTTCCATTATATTTGTTGTACCATTGCATATTTTTTGTGATATAAATATTCTTGTATTATGTTTTGAATGAGAAATAAAAATCATTTGAATCAGCGACTACCTGTCTACAAACTGTTTGCTTCCCTAAAAAATGGTTTCTAATTGAGACATGTACTATAGGAACCAGTACATAAAGACCACTTTTGTTGTCTCCCTTGGGTGGTCTTTATAGACAGGTTTCACTGTAATAGAATATGATATATTAATGTGAGCATATTACCTTTCCAGAAAGCCTGTTAACACTGACATCACAAAATTTCTTTCATATTATGATACAATTTCAGTGATATTTTACTATCACATTTCCATGCCAAATTTGGGCTCCCAACACTTTAGAGGGGCTTTAAACAATATTTAGTGATTAATAGGACCAATGAGGTTAGATAAATAGTGGTAATGGGCTATTAAAATTAGAATATAATAAGTTAAGGTGAGTATATTACCTTTCCAGAAAGCCTGTTAACACTGACATCACAGGTAGATAGCTTCACACTGGCAGCTGTTTGCTGGGTTGCAAACACGATGAAACCAAACCCTGCAGACTCCAACTGACAAGTCACTATCTGTGATACAACAAATGCAAAATACATGGTTTAAAGAAATGATCGGCGTTGTCTATAATAGGTCATGGCTGACCCGTTGTGACCAGTGTGATGAGACCTTTCCATTGGCATCTGTCTCCTGCAATCCAGTAGAGTGTATTGAGAGGGTGGCCAGGGACATCCCTAAGAGCGTCACTCCATCTTAGGAGGCGACCCGGGTTCGAAACCTAGGCAATGCGCTAGTGCCCTTTTGGTATTAAAGGCATAATCCTCATTACCATGTCTCTCGGAGAGGACCTAAGCCGTCGGTCCTCTGGTTGCACACCAACAAGCATTTATACTTTCTTAGCAGTCAGGTAAAATAACCACCACTACCACACACACACACACACACACACACATAGCTTAGGTCTTCCTTTGCTACGCGTTCCTTCAAAGGTACCTTGAATGATGATTTTTTTTTTTTCAAGGTTGTCTCCTCATCTTCCGCTAACGTGACCAAAATATTGTAGCTTGTACTCATCAATCCTGGTAGCAAGTGGCGGTTGATCTTTGATGATAGAAATAATAGACATGATAGGTAATACAAACATCAAAGAATAGCAACTAATACAGACACACTGAAGCCCTTCACCTTGCACTCATTAGAGTAATTGCAAGAATAATCAAAAAGCTAAAATTGGACAATATAAACCCAAGCTATAGGGAACAAAGCGCTCACAAAACCCCTGGTTGTGATTGGTTGCTGGAAATTTTAAAGATAGTACATGGAGATGTAATGCCAGCTATTGAAATGAAAACTGTCTGTAGCCCAATATTATTGTTAGTATTAACCATGCCTTTGGGAGCCCAGTGGCTCCTGTATTAATCATACCAGAATGACAAAAATCAGTACCGTATTTGCCGGCGTAAAGGCCGCAGTATTTTTGGAAGAGAAAATATCAAAAAGTCGGGGTGCGGCCTTTACGATGAAAGAGTAAAAAAAAAAAAAACGAAAGTCAAAACCAACACGAACTTGCACGTATGGGACTGGAAACGGTAAAATAACAATACCACTATGGTACAGGACATATCCAAACATCTTACCAACAATTTTATCTTGCATTGTTGACATGAAGACGAAAATAAACGTCCTTACACAACATTTGCCGATAGATCTTGATCTAAGTTCGTGCCAATGCATTGCAAAGGTAAAGGAAGGGACAGTCTAACGGAGCTGCCGCGAACATCCATCTGAAGTCGCCATTTTGTTTTTCCATTTCATGCAGTTTTGCATTATACATTGTGGTAGGGGTATATCGGACACCAAATCTGCCTGCGATCACTTTTTTAGCTAAACTTCCGGTAAATTATAAGAATATGGATGAATTTGGTATCAGTTTGGAAGAAAAAAAATTGTGTTTTTCAAGAAAATTATGATTATTTTGTTTTGCCCGTTTGTTTGCTTTTTTTTTGTTTTGTTTTGTATTTGTTTTTGTTTTGTTTTATTCTCTCTTTGAAATGTCAAAGTTTGGGGTGCGGCCTATGCGGCGGTGCGGCCTTATCGCCGGCAAATACGGTAGTCTACTAGTTAAGTCACCATAATCCCTAAACAATTAAAAAAACATGTTTTCATACATATTAATGTAGTTCATGTATTGTGCCATCATGAACAACATACTACACATGTATAAGAAAATAGGACTTCTAGAAAGTTGTTCATTTCAAGATGCTATCCTAGATGGAAAGCAGTATCCCCATCATACATGTAGCTTTACACCATAATCAGTCAACATCCATCCCTTGAGATGTTAGTGTGATGTCTTCATCCTCATTTCAGGAGAGAGCAGAGGTTAAGAAAGACCAGATGGAATGTGCTTTAGGATCATTCTGGATACCTAGAAATCCAAGATGGTACTGATGAAGATGGTGTCTGTTTTGTTTGATACACTCATGTACATGTAGATCTACTAGAGATGTAAAATCCAGAAAGTCCCATAAATAGCGGTTTATGCCATTTTTATGACTGATGGTGCGACATGATACTGCACCAATGGATGTGGGCTTTATTTTGTCAAATAGGGTTAGGAGTAGGGTACCAGTTGGGCTTTTGAAGATGTTTATTTACGATGAGGGTTAGATTAAAGTATGTATAGTCCAGAGTAAAAGTTACATCTGGTTTAAAATGTAAAAGGATATATATCAACCATTAATTATTTGGTTTCCAGTTACAATGTCCACCAGGCTTCCAATGATTTTAATGGTATATGATAATACAGCGAATTGGGTCTCAAGCAGCCTTCTTATCTGACTGATCTTGACAGAAGTTGGTAACCAAATGAATCACAGAGCAATTGTCCCAAGATCATGGCTCACGCAACTCTAGAGGATATAAGCCATTAGGAGCCAGAAGGGCTTTAACTATACTTTCCCCGTGTCCACACACAACATTTTCCGTGATTAGGTGTGATTAGTTATACTGTTTCGGGATAGTTACATATATATGATTAAATTGTGTGTGTGGACGCTTACTAACGATACGTCGTATAACGAAACGCGGGTTTGGGCATCATTTCGAACTAACTAATCACGCCTAATCATGCCTAATCACGCCTAATCATGGAATGTGTTGTGTGCGGACGTAACTAGTATAACTAGTCGAACTAGAGCGGTATAACTGGGCGGGGCTTAATGTGACCTCATGCGAAAGGAGACCTGACCTCTCATTTTCGCTTCCATTTCATGATCGCAGTAGCAAATTGCGCACCTATACGACTTTCGCTGTAGAGTTTCGTGATTACTTTCTTGTGTGTGTGGACACCCTGGAATTTATACAATGATTCTTTATACAACGTTTCGTTATAGAGTTTCGGGATAAAATGTTTTGTGTGTGGACACGCCGTTTGATGCAGAGATAACACTCTTCTGACTCTGAACAGAAGATGTACTAGTCCCAACAAGAACTATGATATAAGGTCATTGGACTGGGCACACTTTCTCCAGATGGCCAATCCATCCCTTAATGACCGTATGAATGACTGCACAGACATCTTATTGAACAAATATATAGACCTGTCCTCATCAGCTTGAGATTGCCAAATATCTCGCTATTTGAACTATCCCAATAGCAAATTATCCAGTTAATTCGCGTCTTCATCAGCCCGAAGTTGCAATTAGCGTGATATTTGGTGGAGATAATCATCCCAAGATATCTTGAGCTAGTTTGCAAAATATCCCGCTATTTGTCCGGTGATTCACCAGACCTCAGACTCGCACTATGCGTGACAGTGAGCAAAATATATCGAGCTCGAGTTGCAAGTTTAGAGGTCGAGTCTCGAGCTGATGAAGACGCGATTTGTAACTTCGGGATTATTTCCCAAATCAGAAATAGCGGGCTATTTGGCAATCTCGAGCTGATGGAGACATACCTTTATTGAACAAATATACGAGACTGGTAAGAGACTGGTAACTAGTTACGTCCATTGCTCAGCCTAGGCATCTGGGTCAGCAGGTTGATGGTTTAAGCAGCTCTTGTTTGTCACATACCCGGCTTTCAACCAAGTATCAAGGCATGTATCACCATGCATCTAGGCCTAGTCATACATGTATCTGATACCTCATACGCCTCATTATACAGGTCATTTGGCCAACTGAAATTGATTCCTTGTTTCTCAACCACAAAATTCCTCTAAATGAAGAGGAGGAACTCTGATTTGCGTTCTTGCTGTTTCCTGCACATCCAACGACAGTGGGTCAAGTAAGATCGATTTCTAGTTTCTTATGGATCAATATATTTGTTTAACAATGTTGAATCTGAGATGCATGGCCCTTAATGAACGTGCTACCTGTGTCTGTGATATGGTGTAATATTGAAGCCCTAAAAAAAAATTGTGCTTCAAAATGATCAAGAGGTGCCCCCAAAAGTAAACATCTTTGAGTGACAGGTTTTACCATTCTCATTTCCCCAATAGACTGTAGTGTTAAACAAATCGTTAGGAAAACAAATTTTTAATTTCGATTTCCAATCATAAATATCTTAATAATCGGACAGGCGATCGGATTGTAAAAGTCACAGGGTTCATGACTGACCTTATGGTTTATTATGATTGCAGCATGAGCTAAATCCAGGATTTTGTTTCAGAATCTGAGGCAATGTTACCGGATCCCTTTAAGAAGAGCAGGAGGGATCCCACATTATTTATCTACTGTATTTTGCTGGCACATTCAGGTCATTAGGCCTTCCGGTAGTAACATTGATTCTATTTGCTCATCCTCGCCGTCTACAATTTTTAAAAGAAATGTGCCCCATAGTATTGACATTTTGCTATTTTGGAAAGCATGAGGGGTTCCCTACAAATCCAAACGATCAAATCTTTTTCTTTTTTTTGGGGGGGGGGGGGGGAGGGGTTCTGGACTGAGATTCTGGGTGACCGTGTGTTCCGGATGCCTGTTAGTGTTGAGCCTTGTGAATTGCCATTGTGTGATATTCTAAAGTGATATTCTCAGTATACATTGTAACTGAATTCCTTTCTCAAGTCCTACAGACGATATCAGCCCAAGCTAAATTGACACTAAACAAAGATTTTGTTGTTGTTGTTATTATCAGTTTCTTCTCTAGATGTCCTTGGTATAAATACAGTCAAACCTGTCTATAGCGACCGCCCAAGGGAAACACAAAAAGTGGCCTTTGTACTTTGTAGACAGGTTCCTTTGGTACATGTTTCAATGAGAAACCATTTTCAAGGGAAACAACAAATGTGGTCCTTGTAGACAAGTGGTCTACATGTACATGTATGTAGACAACAAGTCACTAAAGCAGGTTTGACTGTAATACCTTTTAATTATGTTTTCACAATACTTTTAAAATCAGTTCTTGATGTTTACCTTTAACGTTCCATTAACTAATTGGTTGCCACTTGTAAGCTGTATACCCCCAACACAAGGATAAATTGATTAAAATTGACTTAATTAAGCCTCTTTTTATGGCATAGTTCAATCAGTCTATTCTGTTAGCAAGGTACCCGTACCTTCTATAAGTGCAGTATGTGTGATTAATCAACGTAAAAATTGGTAACAAATAGATTTTTGTGTGTAATATGATGTATGTTGTCATCATCATCCTGAGTTATCATTATTAGTTGTAGTAAATCTAGCATCATTATTATTATTGCCATTAATATTATTATTACTATTACTCTTATTATTATTATTATCATTATTATTTTTCTTATTCACATTATTATTATTATTCACGTTTATTTTATCATCATTACTATCATTTTATTACCATGATTCACATTATTATTACTTTTATTATTATTGTTATTATTATTATCATATCATTTTCATCATTTTCATTATTATTTGTCATTATCATAAGTAAATGGAATATTTTTCATTTCATGGAGATAGCTTACTGTACAAAGTTCCACTGTACCGATACATGCATTATATAGCGTGTCATGGACAGTGACTTGCACACCTATTCATTTACTCGTAAAATAATCCATCAGCGGTAATCATAATCAATGCTAATGGAATTATAGTTCGGTAAAATTGCCACTAGACGCCAACTGCATGTACACATGTTAGGCGGTGAACGCGAAGAAAACAAGCCATTCGTTTCTAAAAGCAGATGAAGCATACACAGCGAAACAGGTACACATGTAAATCTACAAGTGATGAGGGGTGGGGCTCATGTTCCGGTGACAATAGCCCAATGAATGAATTGAATTTATGAATTTTCAACCCTGGACTAAATTAAACCTATGAACGTGAATATGCGTTTAAAGATAAAGTTGAGTTCTGGTCATGCGATTGTATTGTGAAAGAAATGTTGTGAAATCAATCAGAAAAGGTTGATCATCTAGCATATTAAGTATTGGTGTGTACTGCAAGGTTCTGGAATCATCAAAATTATAAGACATTTGGCCCAGTCCGGGTAAAGTTACGAGCACTGTACACAGAAAGATGTATATATGGGACTACACAAACATGTGGTACATAAACAAAATCTGTTCAGATTTGTATGATGTAACGTGCCATATTTAGAATAATAAGGCCTTTGAAGAGCCGTGCTTTTCAGGGAACAGTTTTTATCTGATGTTCTTTCACAATTGCATAATACAATGGTAATGCTCACAAATTATTTTTCACCTCTTCCCAGAACTCAACCTTCTCTTTAAACCCATGTACTCTCAAAGTCATAAACCCAAACTTTTCATGCCCAACCCAAACCTATTTAATTGTGTTTAAATTTGGTACATTCATAAATGTTTTTTTTTGTATCAAATATGGCTTAAAGTAATTAAATTTACAATTTACAGAAAGTAAACGTATCCACTGAAATACAAAAGACAGCCTGAAATAAATGACAACATGAAAAGGGTGAAGATTTGGTCATTGTTATGTGCAGCAAAGAATAGACAAGGGCTATGAACGGCTAGCCCCATCAACCCGATGTTATACCCACCACAAAGCTACAAATGCAGGCAACAGAATTAAGAGGAAATCTCATTAAAACTGTCCCCACTGTATTAGCAGTAAAAACAAAATAAAAGATAATTTCATTTGGTTTTGAGCTGAATACCCGCTTCCTCTCGTGTGAAATACCCGGGGTCTATTTTCTATCAATATTCTCTCTTTTTTCAATCAAAAATATGAAGGAAGGCGATAGAATAGTACGGTACCTATTGCACTATCATAGCCTGAAAGCCCCAAGGATAAATATAGCCATAACTACGAAACAATCTTATTAGCAATTGAGTTGCATATTCTCTGTACGAAGATGCCGGTAAACTAGTCAGCTTGACTAGGGAGACCTCCCCTAACTGTTGCCCTTGGCATTGGGGCTGTGGCTGTGGCTGTGGCAGTGGCAGGGAAGTTATTAATTTAATATATGACTGGACCATGCAGACAAGTAAGAACATTGTGGTATGGGGAAGGAAGGGGCTGGGGGAACAGAGTCTACAGTCAGGATCTCGTAATGTGAGCAATAATCACTCATAGAATGAAGCCATTCTTGGAACATGAAGCATCACTGCATTTATACTGTAGCAGCCTGCGAGAGACAGTGATCACACATACTGTACATACATGTACATGTATGTACATTAAAAGGCATCGTTTAACAATGTTAAATTTGAGATGCATGGCCCTACGTGTTATCAGTGTCTATGTTATGGTGGGATATTGAAGCCCTTAAAAAATTGCGCTTCAAAATGATCATGAAGTGCCTCAAAAAAGTAAAAAAACTTTGAGTAACCGGTTTTACCATACTCATTTTTTCCAATAGACTGTAGTGGTATAAAGACCCTTAGGAAAAGTTGGCATACAACTGTATATATTCATATTAATCGCTAATATTTCACTTTTCTCCCAAGCTACATGTACATGTATATTTTATTGATAAAACAAATTGGTCTGTTCGTTTACTTTGTATATGAGCCCATAATGTTGCATGAATTATTGATGCTTGAAGTATTTTAATGGTGTATTTCTACGTACCAAGTGATCTTTAGGACCTGCAACTGCCTGGACATGCTGGAACTTTGGGGGTGCACTTCCGGGCTTGATCCGATCAAAGGTCACTTGTACTGAGCTCTGGAAGAAAAAGAAAGAAAGAAAAAAACAGAATAAAGATTCAAAATTTTCAAAATGTCAATTCAGTCAAGCCATATGAGAAATCAATACGCTTCCACGATTAAAACAATAATAATAATAAGTCAATCATTGTTCGTACAAGAAAAACAAAATCAAATCAGGAAGGTGATGCTACTGAACAAAGAATATTGTATCTTACTGATGACCTTCTGGCTCTCAACTACATAAATGTTCAACAAGTCAAAAGATACTCAGGCCTTAAATTTCAATATTTTTAGGGCAAGGCCGTTTTTCTGTAGGGTACATTCCTATATTACAGAACAAATAGGAAGAATTGGAAAGGGCACAACAAATCTCCAAGGCCAGTGAGAGGGGCATTGAGGCCAATCAAAAGGGCATCCGCGGCCATGGCCTTGGTGCCTTGGATGAATTTAAGCCCTGGATACTACTTAAAAGGGAGGTGCATTATCAATTGAACTTGGTATTGATATAAGCAGAAAATGGAGATAAAACAGATCAGTGAAGTTTGAGATAGATCTGGTACAAGACAAGAAATTTATCCAGCATTCAAGTTTAAATTTCTGTAATATTGTAAACACAGATTAGCAAATCAGTGATATATATCTCTTGTGCACCTCTCCCATTAGCATTTTAGTTTTAATATGATTTTAACAAAATGCAGTATATGAAAATCTGAGGTTTGAGCATCTTTTCCAATGATAATATGATTAAAGAATAAGGGGCTTGAATTTTGCCTCTACAACTCTCTCTCTCTCTGTCTTGCAACTCAATCAAAGCTAATGCTGGAAAGTCTTTCATTTTGACTTTCATTTTGACGGTATCCACAATGTCCTTGGAGCAGCGTTGCCATGGTAACGCTGTATTCATTCTTCTTTTCCATGGGGTTGAAAGGATTTGCCTTTTCAGATCTATAATTAACTTGGACTGCAACACAATTTTAATGAAAAAAGGTTTGGTTTATGAATGAAAACAGACAACAAATTTTAAATGAAATCAGCGCGTTTGCAGATTGAACCTGAAATCATTCAGAGAAGCAGCATGGTAATTACAGGAGATGGCCAGTTTTAGTATTAGTGTTTGTTAAAGGGATCCAGTAACTTTGTTTCAGATTCTGAAACAAAATCCTGGATTTAGCTCATGCTGCAATGATAATTATAAACCTTTAGGTCAGTCAGGAACCCAATTACTTTTACAAGCTGATCGCCTGTCTGATTATCAAGATATTTATGATTGGAAATCAAAACCAAATTTTACGTTTGCCAAACGATTTTCATACATGTAACACTACAGTCTACTGGGAAAAGAGTATGGTAAAACAGGTCAGTGAGGTCACTCAACGATTTTTACTTTTTGAGGTACTTCTTGATCATTTTGAAGCGCAATTTTTTTAGGGCTTCAATATATTACACCATATTACAGACACTGATAACACTTAGGGTCGTGCATCTCAGATTTAACAGTGTTAAATGATGCCTTTAAGGTTTTTTACTGAAATACTCATTTTAGCCTTCTTTTTATAGAACTACATCCATCTAGATTGTAACCTGATAATAAATCCCAAAATGTGTCATAGCTTTAAAGTTTCACACGGGCATGTTCAAAAGCCTCTTAAACCTTACACAGTGTGGGCACTGTCTTTGGCCTCTAGGCTATAGGAATTCTAAACATTTTACAGAACACCGTGTTTCTTTGGGAGAAAAGGTATTTTCTATCCAAACTGACATCATTGGAAAAAATGCATGCAGCTTTGATGTACACTGTCAACCATGATATTGGACTCCTTTGCTTTAGCACTTTTCACAAAGTGTTGTGTGAATATGGTTTATTCTTGATCTTGATACATGTAGATAAAGTAGAGTACATATATCTTCTCAGAACTTTATTAATCAATCTCTGTGACTGTTTAGATTGACCAATAAAGTTTATCTATCAAGAATAAACCATCTTCTCACATTACTTTCTGAAAATGGTACAGAAAACTATTCCGACTTAAACCCACAATCATTTCATCAAAAGAGGTAAGGAAAAATAAATCCAAATTCATGGGCAATATACTGCAGCTCAGATACAGGGTGTATATTTTAGGTCCTTGAAGTTCGCTCATGGTTTTGCGATGAAACGGAGCCAGATCTATTTCTAGCGAGCCAGCAAATATTTGCAGAGTCTGGACTTAGGCCATTTAATGTTGTTTCTTAAGTAACATCTAGACTACACCCACCTGAACATTTTGGAATTACTAATAGACACCCCAAAAAGATTTCCCTTGTGCTAACATTACATGTACAGTATATGCAAGCGCAATGTACAGTGCAAACACAGGTCTTAATTAAGCAAAGGAAGAGCCTCACACATGAGGTAATAAAAAAGTAATTATGATGAAATACAACTGGGTCCATAATTTACTGGTTGTAAATTAATTGCACTCATGAGACTGGAATATATTCCAAAGAGTAGAAACTCTTGGGTTATTTTTATTTCAGATTGCAAAAAAACGGTCATTAACTCAGAAATTCTCAAATCTAGTCAGTAGTTTAGTATCATACAGTATTAGTGATCATGAAACTTTCACAAATCTGAACCATTCATGAGATTCACAATAGCAAGTGTGCAAGAAAAATTGCCATTGTATTAGTACCGGGCAGTTACAAGTATGGCGAACGTAAGAAAAAACAAGGCCAAATTAATTTTTCTCGTATTCTGCCTATTTGCTTATTTATCTGTTCAGTTGTTTTCCAACATTCTCCTTGTTTCAGTTTCGGTGTCTCTCTACATAAACTTTGCTCATCATTTCATAAATAGCTGGTCTATTCAGACTAACAGAAACTCATATGAAATTATAATAAAGAAACATATAAAGAATCTCATTTAGCTAAAAGGGCATACAGACTAGATATAGCATATCGAAACGTTATATTAAAAGAAAACAGTTCTGAAGCAAACAATTGACATGATAGGTGAACAATCATCAGAGCGTGTTCATGATGAGCCTCACTTAGGTTTTTTAATATCTGTATGATACCAAGTTCAGACTACATGTACAACAAGACTGATTCTTTATTGAGTTTTCATTTGGAAACATGCGGCTACCTGCGTTCAGCTATAAGAAAGAACTGCCTTCAGCTATGTACATGTATGCGGTCAGCTACGATACATGTGTTCAGCTGAACAACATTCAATGACACATTGTTCAGGTTAGAAACAAGGTAAAATTGTATGTATGTAGCTATCGATTCTCGTAAAGCTTAAATCGAAATGCTGAATGCAATGTTAGATATGTACAGCGTAACACTTAAGGAGTGGGATTTCTGAATGTGGAAATGATCTCGGGGAGAATGAATTACTTCATAGAATATATGGGATAGAGAGTTGTGGCAGTCGATCCATGGTTGCCAACGTCTCAGGATATGGCACATACATGTAGAAGAAGAACGCTTCTCCAGCTCCCTTTCAAAGCTGAGCCATGCAGCCTGCAATGAGCGCAAGCTAGGTCTGTCCTTAATTGCAGACTAGACATGGTATTTGGTTTGATTACCGACCAAGCTAGCTTTAGAGCCTGACTAGCTCAGTCATCATGATACGACTGCCTGCCGGAGAATGCTGAAACATCAGTATGACGTAAATAGCTCACTATGCATGCTCCCTCCGGCTGCGTTCAGAAAACATTTTCTAGCTAGAATCAGGTTCTTGACAAAATGGTCAAATCACAAATTTGAAACATTCTTTGAACGTATTGGGTTTAAAAATTAAAAATAAAATACATGTACTCTCGTCAGGCTCTGTTTGTTCCCACGACAATAGCTGTAACCAGTTCATAAAATTTGTGATAAACAATAAATATACATGTAGTTAATATGAAATGATTTATACAGTACATGTAGGGGCCATCTTTTTTAGTAAGCCTTCGATAGTAAGGGTTCAGAAAATGCACCTTTATGTATATTCCATTTACATGTACATGTACATGTACAATGTACAGGTTTTGTAGGGTTTGTTTTTACATGCACTTTCATGTTATTGAAACAGGTTTGAGATTTCCATTGCACTCCAGCAGATGTTTTAGAAAGCATCATTTTAGCCAAATTGTGTTTCCAGATTTACCTGATCTTGTACTATGAATAACCGGAGAAAACTAACTCAAATGCAACATTTTCTTGAAGAAAATGTATTTCAATAAACTCTTATATGAACGCAGCCTCAGTATGCTGGGCCGCAGCCTCATGCATAGGTCACCAGGAAGGGTCTTAATTGTAGACTAGCGGATGTCATTAGCAGCCATGTTACCAGTGAACATGAACAAGCTTAAAGGCCAAGTGTTCTGATTACTGAAAGCAACAGGGCTGGTTCATTATACATTAGTCTAGGAAAAAGAAAAGTGAATTGGTCATGAGCTTGGTCCCAACTATTAAAACAAAAAAGGAACAGTATTACAGGAAAATTCAAGTCTGATGTTAAGCTATTCTGAAGGAAAGGGTGAACTACTGTGAACAAGACTGGAGAAGAAATAAGAAAGTTATCATGCCTTCTCTCTCTCTCTCTCTCTCTCTCTCTCTGTCTCAGTCTCTCTCTCTCTCTCTCTCTCTGTCTCAGTCTCTCTCTATCTATCTCTTTCTCTCTCTCTCTCTCTCTCTCTCTCCATCTACATGTATCTCTTTCTCTCTCTCTCTTTATCTATCTATCGCTCTCTTGCGCTCTCTGCAGCACATGCGTGGATGGGTAGGGAGGAGGTGGGGAGGAGGGGGGAGGAGGGGGAAGGTTGTGGGGAGGAGGGGGAAGGTTGTGGGGAGGGGGGAGGTGGTGGGGTTGTGGGGAGGGGGGAGGTGGTGGGGAGGTGGGGAGGTGGGGAGGAGGGGGAGGTGGTGGGGAGGAGGGGTGTCTCTCTATTTATGTTATTCTCAGTGTCTTTCTATCTATCTTTCTCTCTGTCTCTTTCTATCTTTCTCTCAGTGTCTACATGTATATATCTATCTATCAAGTATTAA